AGTGTTAAACAATGAATTTCTGATTTTCTTGAGAGAAAAAAAACCACCCACCTTTAGAGTTAATAATGATATATAGTTTTTGTTTGCCATGGTGTGCAGCATGAGTAAAGGAGTAACACCATGAAACAGTCCTTCTATTTTGTCACTTGCAGACATTGGGAATTGCTTTTCTCTGTTGCCCCTTACATATGTCCATTTTATATCTGCATGTGATGGTTTCTTTGCAGATATAGATGAGTGTGAACGCAACCCTCTGCTGTGCAGGGGTGGCACCTGTGTGAACACTGAGGGGAGCTTTCGGTGTGACTGTCCCCTGGGCCATGAGCTGTCACCATCACAGGAGGAATGCTTAGGTGAGTTTCAACTCAGGAAAATAATCTGCAGTTTGAGGAATGGTCAGTCTCTGGCAAAGGTAGGGTCCCGGGAATCTCTTAAACTAATTAATGCTCCTCCTTTATATTAGTATCTTCAGAACAAGAACTAAAAGTCTGTGAAGTCCTCAGTGCCAGTAATGCTGTTGACTCCAAAGAGGAGTGTTTTACAAGGCCTCTTAGGGGTTATTTAGCAACTGAAAGACTGCAGCACTCATGGAAGTAACTTTAATCAGTTACAAAAAGGTGGTGTCCTGTGTTGAAATGTATCTTTCCTTTTAGCACATAGTCCACCAAAAAAAAGAAAGGAAAAAAAGAAAAAGGTCAAAGAAGAAGTGTATTATCTCTTTGGCTTATTTTCTTGATGGAAAATAGCATACTTAGTAATTAATGCCCAGCAGATTCTGTAATTAATGCTCTCAGGCCTGAGTCAGAGAAGAAAAATCTTTGGACACTAGCTTAAACATACTGTGCAGAACTCCAACAGGAACACACCAAGAACAAGAAAGAAATTGAATAAACCCAAAAGCCATCAGTTATATAACCTCTCATTCTCTCTGGAACCTGAGCTGTTAAAGCTGTTAAATATTCTGAATTGCAACTGATATGAATGATTCTTCCCCAGATGTAAATGAGTGTTCACTGAGTGACAGTCTCTGCAGAAATGGCAAGTGTGTGAACATGGTTGGGACGTATCAGTGCTTCTGTGACTCTGGGTACCAGCCCACTCCTGACAGACAGGGATGCACAGGCAAGTGTTGTGCACCTGCACATGGGAATTTGTGCTTCAGCTGCATTGTTCCATCTGTCCTTGCTTTTATTTCATTTCATACCTTCCTTTTGAAAATTAGCAGGGCTGTTTTTTCTTGTGCTCTGAGGTTTATCGTGAGCTGTTGTGGAAATACAGAAATATGAAGGAATATAAACTAGGTTTATAAAGATGGATTATACTTACTGTATGACTCCATTAAAATCAGAGGGTTGAGCTTACAACCAGAAAATACACCTAGATTTTTTGATCAAGCAAGAAAAGCCCCATACATTGATGGTTTACCTTTCACTTTTCTTTTCCTTATCATATGTGTCTCTTTAATCCTTCACTGTAATAGTACCGAATTATGTAGTTGCCAGCACATCAACTCCTTGCAAAGGAGTGCAGCAGAACTGAGAGGGCTTTTTTATTTGCTTGTTACAGTTTTTTTTTTGGTTTTTTTTTTAGAAAAATACAAATTTGTGCTACATTTCTGTTTTTAAGTTTCTCAAGGTTTCCCTTTTCTTAGTTTCCAAACTTTGTTTCTTGTGCTCTTGTTCACACCCCTAGCAATACACAGGAACAAAAGCAACATTTAACTTAGCCACTTCCTCTCACAGAGGAAAAAGCAGTTGAAAGAGGGAAAAATGAACAAAGTATAAATCAGAACAGAATGAGAATAGAAATTCAGAATGATGCTACTAATAAACCTTTTTATGTACAATCTAAATAGAATTTTTTTCTTAAAGGAGTAGACTTACTGCTACCAGTGTTTCTTCCCCAGATATTGATGAGTGTATGATAATGAATGGAGGCTGTGACACCCACTGCACTAATTCAGAAGGCAGCTATGAGTGCAGCTGCAGTGATGGCTATGCTCTGATGCCAGATGTCAGGACATGTGCAGGTAGGTTTTTGTACCTGAAAAGTTCCAGCATCGTACCTTTCAGCCAAAATCAATATGGTGTTCCAGCCCATCCATGCCAGAGTGACAGAATTACTATCTGCTTTTTTTTGGCCCCTCAGATATTGATGAATGTGAAAACAACCCAGATATCTGTGATGGTGGGCAGTGTACCAATATCCCAGGGGAATATCGCTGTCTCTGTTACGATGGATTTATGGTTTCTATAGACATGAAAGCTTGTGTTGGTAAGTAGCTGTATGCACCAAATTTAGCACAAGTCCTGAAAATACTTCAGGTGTTGTTTGGAAATATTCTTTTTACTGTGTCCTTGAAAGTAGGTATTGAAATTATATATATTATTTTTAAAAAAATAATCTATATACCTTTTCGTAGGTCTTTAACAATGAACCAGATCCCATAGTTAAAAAACATAGGGGTGATTTTACTGTAATGGAACATGTATACTGAGAAGGGATTAGTTGAGGGGTCCAGAAAAATTATTAATTGGAAAAAAGTTATTATGATCACGAATATGTTCTAAGAAAATTATTTTAAGTGATTAGTCTAAGAAAAATTTTGCTTCATATTCCTTTAATTAGCATTCCAAAAAAAGGTGAAAACAAATGGTATTTGTTTTACCACAAAACAGTGGTATTTGGACTTCACATTTATCCTTACTTGTTTTAGGGAATTTACAGAGTAGAACAGCTGAAATATATTATGACCTCATAGAGTAGGTATTTTCACCTGAAATAAAGTGTTCCAGAATGACAATAATGTCCAACTAATAATTAATTTATAATCACCTACAGATGTGAATGAATGTGATTTGAATTCCAACATCTGCATGTTTGGGGAGTGTGAAAACACCAAAGGCTCCTTCATTTGTCACTGTCAAGTTGGGTATTCAGTCAAGAAAGGAACCACAGGGTGCACAGGTAAAGCAGATTTCCAATGAATGTGTCACATATTTTGGTTGACTTCCAGGTAAAATAAATGCCCCAGTGTTCACACACAAGAGAGATGTAGATATCTATGTATATTTATATATATATATGAGTGTTTCACATCTGCTAGCATGTACTAGAGTTTTAAAGGGAATGTTCCTTCACCAGTATCAATGCTGGAGTTAGTTTTAAAATTAGTTTAAAATTGGTTTAAAAACTAATTTAAAAGATTTTATCAGCACAGGCTGTGTCAACATCCGTGTCACAGAACATGGCTTGGGGTGGCAAGGCTGCAGATGTGTTGGAAGTATTTTATCAATGCTCATTTGTCACATGTACTCTTCTCAAATCAAGCTGCAGGAAATGGCCATGTGGTCTAAGAAAAGAGCAAGAGGGAAAACAAAAGTAAACAATAAATCCTTCAACCTTTGCCAACAAATTTTAAAGTTCTTTAGTCACTCATAATCACTCTACAAGTTCCTGTGATGTTTAAGCAGTACCTTTTTTTCTGCATGCTCTCAAGAATCCAGACTCATCCAAAAGCAGCTGACAGAATTTCTCCTATAATTCAGTCTTTAGGAATCTGTTCTGTAACCACCACAGCCCTGGAGGTATAATTATTTTTATAACTGAAAGGTGGCTGTGCACCCAAAGGCCTCATCCCAATTTTAGATATTAGATCAGAATATTTCATATTTGTGGAAAAGAACATTACTTTCAAGCTAAAAAGCAGTTGTAGGAAGGTGGGCTGATTGTCATGTTTACAAAAAAAGAACAAGAGTAAACTGCAATTTTCACTCCTTTTTACTAATACAGAACACAAAATAGCTTGCTTGAATTATTTTTGTGTTCTTAAACATTTGTTTTTTAAAGAACTGCAAACCCTCACAGTGGAAATATGTAAAAGGAACAGAATTTTTAATATTCTGATGTAAACACTGATAGTTTGTTTTGTGCTTGTAGATGTGAATGAATGTGAAATTGGAGCTCACAACTGTGACATGCATGCCTCCTGTGTCAATGTGCCAGGAAGTTTTAAATGTACCTGCAAAGAAGGTTGGGTTGGAAATGGCATTAAGTGTATTGGTAAGTATATAGAAAATAAAGATTTTTTTCTCTTTTTTCTCTCTCCCCACACTTTTTTTTCTGAAAGCATGTAATATGACAGTGTGATTAGTCCATTAGAAACAAAGAATTATTCTTCTGTCTGCTGTAGCCTGTGGATTGATGGGTATGAAAGATTATCTTTCACAGATGTGGTTTTCTAAGAAATAAAACATTTTACTGTCTTAGAAATTTAATGCTGTAACATCTTGCTGAATTAACTACATATTTTACTAAGTTTATATACAACTGCTACTAGAATGTGCAAAATGAAGAAAAACACAGAAATTAAATAGATTTTGTTTTACTGTTTCCTGTCAGTAGGATATTTCCAATCCTTCAAACATTTTTTTGAAAATGTCTTGTAATATATCTGATTTGTAGACCCTGATATAAAACAGATTGGGACTGGAGGGGTGGGAAAACTGCATCTTCATTTGCTGGGCTGCTGTAGTTGTGTCTGTCCCCTTGCCTTCATGTTTCAGTTTGGTGGGTAAAAGATTGTAATACTTGCTTTTTGTTTTCAGAACATTTTGGTATCTGTGGAGCAGTAGCTTCATTTAACCATTAGGCTTTATTAATGTAATGTGCTAAAAAAAATTACCATATTATGAGATTTCTCACCTTTTTTTACTTTTTCTTCCTTTTTTTTCTTTTTTCTTTTCTTTCCCATACATATTAACATCCAGGTGAATAGATTGTATCAACTCTCATGGGGTTGCATTATTTTCACTTTCTTCTATTACTTGAGGAGACTTGCTAAATAAATGGCGGATTTTTACCTCACTACATTTCTTTGGTTCAGTTTCTTTTTCTTTCTAAACTAATTTTGAATTTAAGCTCTTTAACATGACATTAACATCCAAGTAATGAGTAAGCTGAATTCCATCTGTTGCTCAGAAATATTTTGCCCAGTCCCACACGTTGTAATTTGAAGGAAGGCTCATTAAAATGGAGTCACTGTAGATTAACCCTGTATCATCCAGTAGTAGATATGTGTATTTATGGAGTCACAAATCATGTTTGCAGTGGTGCTGGTTATCTTGGCAGTTAATTGCCAGCCAGTTTACTAATTGCTGTGCTGCTGCCTGCACTTTTTGACCCCGATGTGCAGATCTTGATGAATGCTCCAATGGGACCCAGCGGTGCAGTGCCAACGCCCAGTGTGTGAACAGCCCGGGCTCCTACCACTGTGCCTGTGCAGAAGGATTCACTGGAGATGGCTTTACCTGCTCTGGTAAGGAGTTTTGTGACACCTGACTTGTCACTGGTTGTTGTTCTTTTGTATGGAACCTTTGTGAGTTAGACCTAAGCCCATAGTGCAAGACAATAAATGTGAAAATGTAATTGAAGATCAAGATGCTTCCTGTCTATATAAGAAATGGTGTCAGAGGCACCTGATTGTTCTTTTGATTTGTGTCCCACTTGGGTCCATTTTCTGGGGGAAGTTCCTGTTTGATGCTTCTTCCTCCTCATCTTCATGCCAGTTATTTTGAACATGCATGTCCTACTTGCAGCAGTGCCTCCAGTCAAGAGCACCAAACATCAGCTCTGTTACAATTCTTCTCTCAGGAATCATCTATTTTCCCATCACTCTATTAGTAGAACAGGATGTGATCATTAACACAGGACTTTTTAAAAGAAAAACAAACTGCAGTTAAAAACTACTGCCTGTGATCCCTGCATTTAGATTTGTATGTGAGAATGAAAATTGTTATTCACACAGCAAGTGACTCAAGGTAAACTGACATGTATTAAAGAAAGTATAAAGATTTTATATTGAATATTAATTACTATGTCTTGGGCTACTCTGGTCTTTATCACTTGCAGAGTGGAGACTTGATATTATCTCTGCTCTCGACTTCTAACACATCCTGTGTTTGGTCAGCATATTTAAAGGTCTGAAGAAAGTATTTCAAGTTTTTGGTTCATGAGTACAAAGTTTTATCCCTATATTGAGCTTCTGTGTTTCTCTAAAAATCAGATGTAATAGTAATTATGGACTACTAAAATGAAGAAAGCATATAAAATTGTTTTTGGACAATCATAAGCATAGCTGACAAAATTATCACTTTTTATGATGACTGCAGTAGTGAATGCCCTCCCTTGCCATTCTCTGTCTTTATAGCTCTTTTGGGGCATACTAAAATAATTCCTGGTGTGCAAGCAGTACTTTAGTGTTAAATAATTCCTGGTGTGCAAGCAGTACTTTAGTGTTCCTCACCCTCGAAGAAAATTTTCTAAAATTAATATGATAATAATTTTCAATGTATGATTTAGGAAAATTTGCCTTTTTAAAATTTTTTTTTTGTCAAAATAGCATAGCAGTATGTACCTGGAGGCAAAATTTTGACTTTTTAAGCAAGGTATTTAACTTATTTGTCAAGATTATTGGTACTGAATCTTAAAAGCTTGCATTATTTAAAATAAAAAAAAGTCATCTGTTAATGAAAAACAAGGAGTAAGGAATTGTGGCAAAGTGAAAGGAATAATTTTGGAAACTGAAAAGGATTCTTTTCTGCCTCCTTTCAGTTCACTTCAGGGTATAAATACTCTTTTTTATAACTTCAGTGCTCAACAGCGCTATTACTTTGTACATCAGGATGTATTTGTGTGTATTTTTGCTGATGAAACCTGTAGTTTCAGAGAGGTTTTCCTGTCCCCCACAGATGTTGATGAGTGTGCAGAGAATGTCGACCTGTGTGAAAATGGGCAGTGCCTGAACGCCCCCGGCGCCTTTCGCTGTGAGTGTGAGATGGGGTTCACTCCTGCCTCTGACAGCAAGTCCTGCCAAGGTGAGCTGCTGCTGCTGCTGCCCCAGCTTTGTTCTCTGGCTTTGTGTTGGCTGCTCTAAAGCAAAGAACAAGCAACAGGACCTCCACCTGGAAGCAGAGAAAGCACCACATGTTTCACATACAAGAAATTTCTTCTATGTGAATTACGTTGGAAGATTGCTTTCATCTTTTTTATGATGTTTTCCTGGCCTTCATCCATAAATCCCAGAGTAGAGGCTTGCCTCAGCAATTTTGTAAATTTTTTTTTTAATTTCTTTTTATCACTATTGGATAGTGTGTGGAAAATCCTGTGTTTTCCTTCTAGTCCAGTTCAGCTTTTATTCCCTATTGTGTTCTTAAACCTTTTGTTGTTGTTGTTTAATATGTCTGTATAATAGATGAAAACATTTTAGCTGGTGCCCCAAAGCTTTTAAGTTACTTCGTGCTTACTGGTGGAAACCACATAGCATCTTTGAAAATTAAAAATCTTTATACAAAAAAAAGTTTTCAAAGTTTAATCTCTGCAATTCAGTCCAGGCATAGCATTTTCTAACATTCAGGTGTACATGTATGGATCAGATTCCAGGACAATTCAGGTGCTTCTGAGGAATTACCTGTGCTACTCTGTAGTAAGATTTGTTAACCAAGTATTGCAAATCATCTTTACTGAATTTCTTGGTGCAGCTCAATCATATTACAGTGGTGCCAGTAATCTAATAAAAATCCCCTAATCTATTTCAGCCAAACAATGTTTTGAAAAACAATGTAATCCTTAATTTTGGCTCAGTGTGTTGAAGGATTTGGGTCCAACGATTGAAGGATTTTGGAGAAATATACATTACTGTCATTACAGCAGAGATCTGAAAGTATTCCATTGATTAAATTATGCTCTTGGAGAACTAAAATACCTGGGTGCTGAATTCTTAAAAGAAGTCAGCTTTTATTTCTTTCCCTTTGAAGTTGATATATTAATTTGCCTTATTGTAAGGAGAGTCCTTGGCTGATTTCTACAATCAAGGGGCAAAATCCAGTCTTGATTTAATGAAATAATTGTAATACAACTTATTAATCCCCTTTCTTCAGAAGTCCCTTGAGATGTCAGTACATTAGCTTCTCAGTGACCTGATTTGAAGGTCATTCCATGGCTGTACTCAAGGGTATTTAGAAATTTTATTTTCTAGATTAAATTGACTCAGGACTTTTGGATGTTAAGTATTCATTTTTCCTTAAAAATGTGTCTCTCAAAGTGCCCTCAGAAGTTAACCTTTCTCATACATTACTATAGAGAGGCATTTTATCACTTCTCAACCTGTGGCTGAGGTAATCCAGACAGGTTAAGAGTAGGTACTTTATTACTGTAATAATTTTATTACCCCTTTTGCACATCTTGTGCAAAATTAGTTCATCAACAGAGCACTGTACTCAGAATTGCAAAGATTTGGCTGTGCTTTGTAAAATGATATTAATGCTTTCCACTTCCCTATCTGCTAAAAATAATTCACTAATACGTGCCAGAATTGCATTTGCCTTCTCCACAGCTGCTTTATTCTGGCAACTTAAAAAGCCCTGCTGTCTGACAGTACATAGAGGGGTTTTTTTCCACTCTTATCCTACTTACTTTCAACTCAGAAGTCTTTGACAGTTTGTGCCTAAAAACATAGCTTTGCAGTCTGTGGTGTCAGTGTTCAACTCCTTTCTACACTGCAGCTGACCAAAGTCATCCAATTTTATGTCAGTGTCTTTCAACTTGATTTCATCTTCAATTTAGATGAGCGTGCAGGCAGTCCTTTAGATATATTTTAGCTCATCTGTGTGCAGTTACTAAATAACTGTTTCAATGTAGACTTGAGGAAATCACAGATAATTCCTGCTTCCTATATTCCTATTTTCCCTGTATTCTTCCTCCAAGGAGATATGGCTGTTGATGCTTACACACTCTCTTTGTTGTTACTACACTTTCTTTACAAATATAAATTCTCAGATGGGGATTTTGAGTAGTATTCTGCACAAACTCAAAAAGGTTAGTTTTTAAAATATTTTGCATGTGTCTCCTTTTGCTTTTATAGTGGTATGACACATAATAGCAACATGGGCAATAATAATAATAATAGCAATAATGTGGCAATGCTGTGTAACTTTTTGGTTTTAATATATTCCTTTAGACACGGATGAATGCTCCTTCCAGAATATTTGTGTGTTTGGCACCTGCAATAATCTCCCAGGAATGTTTCGATGTATTTGTGATGATGGCTATGAACTGGATAGAACTGGGGGAAATTGTACAGGTAAATCACTGCTTTTCAGAAACATATCAGCAAAAAGGGTGGCTTCTTAAGTATGCAGATGAACAAAGTTTATTTGGAGTTGTTTGGTGAGTTATTTGTAAAACTTCCATTTCAGCTAAAATCCACTTGCATTTGAAACTCCCTTGCTTTGTTGTCTTAGAAAGTAAAATTATTATTTTCTTTCCAATGAGCAGATTTATGAATGTGGATTTCCTATTTTAGATATTGATGAATGTGCTGATCCTATTAATTGTGTTAATGGTCTTTGTGTAAACACTCCTGGAAGATACGAATGTAATTGTCCTCCGGACTTCCAGCTGAATCCTACTGGAGTGGGTTGTGTGGGTAAGAAAAACCTTTCTGAGTATCACTTTTGAAATTACTTCTTTTATGCAAATAATATAGAAAAACAATGATTCCACAATTCTGCAAAGAGCTAATGACTTCAAGAGCACAATGTTCCCCGAATTCCTCCTTCTAAGTATGAAGTTACAGATGAATGCCTGCTGTTCTGTGCCTGGATTATGGTGTGCAGCTCTAACCATGTGTGCTTTTCTCCTAGATAACCGTGTGGGCAGCTGCTACCTGAAGTTTGGACCAAGAGGGGATGGGGGCCTGTCCTGTAACACTGAGATTGGGGTTGGAGTCTCTCGTTCCTCCTGCTGCTGCTCGCTGGGAAAGGCTTGGGGGAACCCCTGTGAGACCTGTCCCCCCGTCAACAGCAGTAAGGAAATGTTCTTGTGTTCTCCTGGTGCTGCCTTATTTTAGAAGGGAGGGAAAAAAGAATTTACAGTCCTTACTGTGTTGCTGTACATTTGTGATAGGAGACAATTTCTCTGCCACTGTCAGAGGGACAGGGGTGCAGAGGTATGGACCTGAGCATCACAGACCTGACCTTTAGTCTTCTGTGACTGACTTGGTGCTTGCCCTCACACTAATGAATCAGTGCTGTCTTTAGAAGGCACTTCCCACCAGACCAGCTGATACTTTAGGTAGCTTTGGGCACTTTATTTTGATCTTTTTTTCCCATTTAAAAAAATATTTTAAAAAAATTTAAAAATTAATGATGCTTAGAACTCAAATCATGGCTTTAATTTGGAGGGCTTCATTATTCTCCAGAGAAGAGTGTAGATAACTTTTGTGTATTTATGTCTAAGTCACTCTTGAGTACTTTCAAAATGGTTAATGATAGTTATTAGCTTTGTAGAGGTTTAGAGGTATTTAATGAATAATGATACACAAATGTCAAGTTCTTTACAGCCTCTTAACAGTAGTAATTCCAAATTTAACACTTATCTTTATCAGTGGCATACTGGCATTTCATACTACAGAACTAATCAAAACAGAAAGTACATGCCTCTGTAAGGACACAGTATGGAAAAATCAATATTGTGCCTGCCTTAAGGGGCTGTAAGGTTCTGAATCTGAGGTTATGGCTATAAAAGAGAGCATTCCTCCTTATCTTACATTGGTTTTCTGTTAATCTAGTGCACATGTTTTATTTACTGTGAATAGGTCAAAAAAGTAGAAACCAAATGACTGTATGGAAGAACAGCCATTAAAAACATAAGTGACATTTTATGATTCTGTTGTCTTAATTTTATTTTTTGTGAGACTGACATGTTGTTTTTTATTATACTTCAGCTGAATACAATACTCTCTGTCCAGGGGGAGAAGGATTCAGACCAAATCCCATCACTATTATTTTAGAAGGTGAGCTTCTGTGATGACTGATAATAATTTTTAAAAAGGGGTCATCTTTGAAGACTGCATTTTTCAGAAATCATTATATTCAGTGCAAAGCAAAAACCACTGTTAATGTGAACTGGAAAACAAAATGAAAAGGCACACAGCAAAAGAATATTGAGGAAGTCCAACACCATTTCAGTAGGAAAACAATCTTGTGCATACCTTTTGTGCGCTTCCTTACTTCAACTGGATTTTAAAATCGGGCCTTGAAGGATAAGTCATTTTTGAAAATCACAGCTCATCAGCAGAAGGTGCAAATGTCAGGAAATATTCATCAGACAAAGCAGGTCTGGTTCCAATAAATGGGCAGAAGTGAAGAATTAAATGCCAAATTCCTGTAAACAGCAATGGAACATTGGGTTTAACAAGCTGAAACTATTCCTTAAGGGCTGTTTGAATGGAAGAGAATGAGCATCTTATCCATGCATTCCTGCAGAGCAATTTAGAAGTCAAAAAACCACACATGACAGTTCAAAGCTACTAGTTGGCAAAATTTCAGGGTAGTACTTAAATTCTCTTCTTTCTTTTCATTCTGGAATGAAAATATTGTGAGTTGTTTTTTTTTCCCCCCTCTGTTTTCAGACATTGATGAATGTCAGGAGCTGCCAGGTCTCTGCCAAGGTGGAAATTGCATCAACACTTTTGGCAGCTTCCAGTGTGAATGCCCAAAAGGTTACTACCTCAGTGAAGAGACAAGAATCTGTGAAGGTTGAGTCCCTTGAAGCCTTTTCTTCTGTCACAGTGCAGTTATTATGAAAACCACTAATTTTTAGCCTTAAATCCATAAGTGGGCATTGTACACCCTACCCTTACCTAGAGTTTTACCCAAAATCATTATATTTGGCACCAGTGATACAATTAGCACAAAGTTAGAAATGGAACACTTGGATATACTAATGTTTATTTTAGATGATAGACCTCAGCCACGTGTATTCAGTTAACTAAGGGGTTATTAATGATTTCTGGCTTCTCACTTGTATCCCTTGCAAGTTTTATGTTGCTCCCTGCATTTTGGGTGTGAGAGTAACAGTTTAAGTTACTCAATATGAAGTGAAGTTCATACTGGTTTTCCTTCTGTGTTTGAGATTTTTCATAACTGTTACGACCAAAATTGTAAATTGACCCAAAAACTCGAAAGTGGTTAAGCCTGCTGTGAGGTGTGAATGTCTTTCATGAAGATGATTTGCTCCTATTTTCAGTGGCAAGTTCAAGAACTTTTAGTTTATTTAGTGTGCTGTCTTGCACTTAAGAGAGCTAAAGCTAAACTTAGAGGTTAAAAACAGAACTGTATTTTCCAAGCTGTTCTTTGAATGAAGCATTTTTGTTATCTTAGCGTGGTTTATTATGGTCATATTTCTCAGAAACATTTGCTTGGACTTGGACCTCTTCTCCCTTGTTAACTGCAATGTTTTTTCTTGCTCTCTAGATATTGATGAGTGTGTTGCACACCCTGGTGTCTGTGGTCCTGGCACCTGCTACAACACCCTGGGGAACTACACCTGCATTTGCCCACTTGAATATATGCAGGTGAATGGAGGACACAACTGCATGGGTATGTGAAATGTCATCTCTAGTACTGCAAGAAAGGGCCAGACCCTGTGCTTTGTATTTACTTTGTCTATTTTTAGCTCCCAGTTGGTGTCATGTTGTCAGGAAAGATTTCCTGTGATTGGCATGCAGCATTCAAGGGCTCTTACTTCCTAACAGGGCTCGCTGTTCACTGGTTTATTTTAGCTGATCATTTCCAAATGGTGGGGTTTACCATGCAAATGGATCTCATGATCCATTTGTATCTGCTCTGTGTTTATGATTTCTTAGGAGTTTGCCTTTTCCCACCTTGTGTCTTTTAATGAATATAGAAAATATGTCACATAAGTCTAAAACAAAGACTGTAGAATACATCAATCCTTAAATTATTATGAAATGCCTGTGTTTATGTTGCATTCAGGAAACAGAGTTAATGAATCATTGTCTGGATTGTTAGGGTGTTGATATTTCCATAGTATGGTAGTTATCATAATGTTGATTACTTCATAAGTGTTTCTTTACTCATAACCAGACATGAGGAAAAGCTTTTGCTACAGGAGCTATAATGGAACCTCCTGTGAGAATGAACTTCCCTTCAATGTGACCAAAAGGATGTGCTGCTGCACATACAATATTGGGAAAGCCTGGAACAAACCTTGTGAGCCATGTCCAACTCCAGGAACAGGTAAAGCCTTCTGTGGTCACCCTGTTTTGTTACTTTCTTTGCTTATCTGCTGCTTTGACCTATCAGTTAAAGTTAACATTTCAGCCTGAAAGAACTTTTACTGAGCAGTAAGACTGGTGTTGAAGATACTGGCTGACCAGAGATAGCTCCTGTCTAGTGTGTCTTCCAGAATAATTAGTTTAGGATAATTAATTACTAAAATTAATACATTTTGGGAATTTAGTTCTTGATATTTGGAGACACATTTATCCTGGTAGTCCTAGTCTGTCAGAACATCAAGATTGGGTTTCAAACTTAGTATAGGAAGCCTTTCTAGATTTTTCAGCTGTGTCTCACGTTTGATTCATGATCTGCTTGTTTACTTTCACATTTCCTCTTACTGAAGGTGACTGAACTTGCAAAAATTGCCTGGTAAGTAGGGCATTGCAATGGGAAATAAAAAATTCTCTTCTGTAAATGGAGGTGAAAATAATAAAAGACAGTTCATTTTCAGTCAGAATTTATAGAATTGACTTCCTGAAATAAAGCATCCCTGAAAGCTCAACTTGGAAAAGTCATTGATGGGAGAACCATCAGCTTGGAAGGAAACCTGACATTAATTGAATGATCTTTATATTTGAGAAAAAGAGCAAAGATGCTAAGATAAAACTAAAAACTCATGTGCCTGTTTTGTACAAACACAGTTTGTACTTGCCCCAAGTTTATATCACTAAATCTGTGCCTCTGGTGCTGTGATTGTGCTTTTAGTATAAAGAATGTATTACTTCCATTTCAAGTGGTTTATCCTGGTCACGTGAGGTAGACAACAGATAATGTAAGAAAGATCTTCCCTCACAGTAAAGAGGAGGAAAATAGGACTGAAAATAAGAGAAAACAGCCTTTTTCTCTTTTTCTTACATAGGAGGAGGGAGAATGAAAGAATGCTCCTAGCAGTCAGGAATGGGAAATGGAAATAAGCTTGAGAGAGGAAATACATATTTGCTACCACAGAGAGCTCATGAAATTCTTTCCCATAGTCATTTATCTAAATGTCATAAAATAGTCATAATGGTGACAGCAGGATGAGAAAAGTACAGCAAACTGCTAGCAGGGATTCATGCAATTAATGTTCTTGGGTAGAAAAAAGAATTCTCCTTCTAGATTGGTGACACTCAAATTCTCAAAAACTTCTGCAGCTTTTAATGATTTGTTAAAACCAAAATTGCTTGGTATTGTGCAAGCAGTTATGGGGTTTAAATATTTCCTGAAATACTTCAATATTGCCTTGTTAGCATTTTTAAATGACTTTACTGTTTTTGCAGGCATAGTTGAAACCTTTTACCATGAAGAGGGATTGTGTGAGGGATCAAACTCAGCTTCCAAGTGGAAATGGTTGAATAGCTGAATTTATGTTCTGTAATCAGTTGTTTTGCAGTCTGGGTGTGGGGTGCACATCACAGACAGGGGTTGGGGTACACTGACCCTAACCACATCACCAGACTGAGCCCAGTGGCTCATTAATAACATTATTCTGCCCTGATGAGGATTGTAAGTGAACTTCACATGCCCACACATTTGCCCTTTTTTTGCCCCCCTTAGTGAACAGGCCTTTCTTCCTTTTTCTCTGTTTATGCTTACCAATCAGTCTCTGTTTGATGACTTTAAGTAGTAAAAACTGTTTTGTTTGGTTTTACACATTATGTAGATCATAACTATTAACATACAGACTTTAATCAGAAATAATAGTACTTTTTTTGGTTTTTTTTACCCAGAGAAGTGTAGAAAGCTGTTTCATTGTTTAGAGGTAATGAATAATGTACAGAACTCCTTTATGGTTTGGTAATTTCAGGAGTGCCTGATCTCAGGTTTTTTTCCTGGTATGTGACAGATCTTTTGTTCTAAAAAACAGTATAGTTATAAGTATATGGGGTTTTGAAAGCTTTTTCAAAATACAAAGCCAAGTTTGCAGAAGGTAAATCTCTGGCATGTTTTAGTGTGGCTATTTTGGCACTTTGTATGAAGACATTTTCATACAATCCTTACCTAATTATATACTCTTTCTCTACACAGTAAAAGCTGGGGGGGAAAAAAGTGTGAAAAACTGAATTTAGTGGTATTCATGAAACATGGAGGTAGCATAATAGAAGGAAAGAGGTCCTGCAACCCTTGGAGCCTCTTTCTCATCCTCCCAGACCTGGTGTGTTTCATCACAGAAATAGGAGATCACTGCCCACTGGGACAGGGTAGTGGTCACAGGGCTCTGTTTTTGTCTGATCTGTTTACTGACAGCAGTAAATGGCATAAATCTCCTTGCAGAAAATAACAAAGTTCTAAAAGAACTAAGTTACTAAGCCCCAAATCTTACAGATAAGTAGTATGTAAAACATACTAAATTATTATTGTTTTGTATTAAATTATTGTAATAACATGCATTAAAGATTATCTTTGAAAGAGTGGTAAATTGCTAAATTGTAAAGCAGTAAATTGTAAAGCACTGTGGTAGACAGCTCTGTACTGCAAGAATAACCTGGCTGAGTATTAAGCAGCCATTAAACAGTAGGACAGGAGAAAGGAGAAAATGCTGATGTTCAGATCCTGGATCCTGCTTGGCTTAGAGAATTGACTGAATATGTATGAATGTGGGAAAAAGATTTTGCCAAATATCATTCTGAGCAGTGATTAACTAAATTTGCTAATAATGGGGATGTTTGGTGTAAAGGAGGCAAGAATTACTCCATTTATAATGGTAAACTTTTCAGAATCATGAGCTGCTGAGGAGCTGCCAATTAAATGTAGATGATAAGAAACTCAAATTACAGCCAGTAAAGACTATAATTGCTACAGATTAAAGAGCATTACTTGCAGGAATACAGGACTTCTTTGTTTTTCATTTTCTGGTGCTAGAATAATTTGTCAGCATTTCAGGTTTAGAAACACATCAAAGGCAGGCTCCATTCTCTTCCTTCTGTTGGCTAAAGAGGTTTCCTGTATTTCCTCAGCAGCTCCAACAGTGGGCCAAGCAGTCAGGGAAGTCTCCAGTTATTAAAATTCCAGTAACCCTTTGAATTTTATGTTAATCTAATGTTTCTATAAATTTCACTCACTTTTTTGAAGTATATTTCACTTTAATCCAATGCCCTGAATGTATAAATAATCTGCCATACAGTTTATTTGAAATGCTTCCTTGGCAGTAGTTAGGAAATGGAACATTGAAACATACTTTTTCTGGATAATTTGAATGCTGATATGACCTAAAAAGCACCTGAAAAGGTGCTGAAAAGTGGCATGGTTATTGTTTGCAAACTGTTCATTCAAACTGGTTGTGTCTTCACACTGAAATTGCTTCATTTCCCTCAAACAGGTACAAATTCCTACGGTAGAATTATGCAATTCTGACATAGTTGTAGGGCTGTCATTTTTTTATATTTCTATCTAGAAAAAAATTATTACTGTAAGTGTGTAATAACTTTTTGTCTGGAAAGCACTGTTCTGCCACTAAAACATCATCTGCAATAATGAATAGAATCCATGCTAGAAATTTTTTCTTTATGTTGCATTTCAAACACCTTTCCTAGAAAAGTCTAGGTTAATTTATTTTACACTTCGCACCAAGCATTTCCCATTCTCCAAGTGCAAAAAGAGGATATAGAATGAGCATATTAAAAAAGTGGGGATTTTGGAGCATCTCTTTTTAAAGCACAGACTCCATTCTGATCAACAGTTCAGTGGAATTAATCTGCAGTAATTCCACGGAAAATAAAATATATAGTATTGTGAAAGAAACTTAGGTACAGGTAAATTATACTTACTTCTCATATTTGAAAGTGCTGCTGTAGATTCACACCGTAGATGCTTAGAAAACCTTAATAATAAACCTTAAGGAGAACTATTTAGGAAAAAAACAAAACCAAACCAAACCTAATTGAATGGCTGCATTCTCAAATCAGACATTTACTCATGTGCCAAAGTCTGGAAAGATTTGAGGATAGTTTGAATTACTATTTCAATCTGCATTAATTTATTGGCAATCTGAATTTCTAATACAAGCTATAGAGGAGAAAATTGTTCTCCTGAATATATTAGGGTAGAAACTACTCTTGAGTAACTTAGAAAACTGCAGGTTATTCTTGGGAGATTCATGCATTCCCTGAAAATGCATTACTGTCTATTTTACTCTAGTTGAATTCAAGAGCCTGTGTGGAAATATTCCTGGCTTCACTTTTGACATCCACACTGGAAAAGCTGTTGGTAAGTTTTACCAGTCATATTTTAACCAAAAATTGTTTTGCATAATGTTTTTGTGCCTACAAAATGTTAAGCAAAAGAAACATTTCATATACTAAAGTTGTTAAATTTCATTTTGGAGTTACAGTGCTGAAATAAATTGAGACGAATTTTTATGTGAAATTTTTCTGTTTGTGGATTTTTTTTTTAATTTCTACATTTTGTTGTGGTATTTTGCTCATGTGGCATCCTAGTTCATGATTTTGAGTTTTAATCAGTAAAATAAAACATTTTGCCTTCAAAAAATACTATGGGACTTCTCTGCACATTTGTAAGTTCTGCATCTTTGCCAATACTTAGTGTAGCTCTGTTTTTGATCATGAGTGTAATTTCTGTAGATTAAAAGGAACGTATCAGCTCAGTTTTAAACACAGTTAAAACGAGAATCCTTGCAGTGTGTAAGGAAATGATGAACTGTACTTAAAGTAGCTCCACTGCCTTTCAGACATTGATGAATGTAAGGAAATCCCAGGAATCTGTGCCAATGGAGTTTGCATCAATCAGATTGGCAGCTTCCGCTGTGAGTGCCCCACTGGATTCAGCTACAATGACCTGCTCCTGGTCTGTGAAGGTGATTTGAAATTTGGATATTTTATCCTTAGCCCCCTTAAGCTTATCCCAAAGGGAAGGGGAACATTTAATTCTTGTGGCTTTCAAAGTCTAAGATAAAGACTGTGAGCTTTTGTAGGGCCTGAGGTTATAAATCAGGTTAAGTGCTTGTCTTTAATACAGATGCACATGCACTTAATAAAATTTGTCATTGTTTTTTGTCAAGCTCCTAAATAGGTAGACCATACTTTTGTTTTATTTTAGGGAGAAAATCTAATTCTTGTTCTTCTTCTTCTTCTCAAAGAGAAGTATTCTGGATTTTTTTTTCCAACTTGTGTCTCTTCTGCTGCAGTTTTAGAGGCAGAGATACTCATAGAAGCTAATTTTGTGTTTTGTAGAGTCAGTAGGAGTTTTGTCATGTGCTTGAGAATTTTGTGCTAATGTGCAACCTAAAAAATTGCAAACTGTGCCACTTTTTTTTCAGTTCAAACACCAAGAGCAAGTTTTTTTAAATGCAAAAATTTCTTCAGGCAGATGTTGCAAATTTGCAAAGTGATTAGATGTGTGGTAAGTTGGATTTGTAGGCTGGGATCCTCTTTCATCCAGAAGGTGACATGGATGAAATGGTGTTGATTTTACTTTTTTGTGTGCATTCCCTGCAGACAGGGCTGGAGGTAAGGCTGCTCCAGCTTTGTGGAGGACTGAAGTTTCCTCTTGCACAGGCAGACAAGACAGTGTAAATCTGAGGCAGGAGTGGCTTCTGATGTCTGTACTCTTGGTGTTTCAGATATTGATGAGTGCAGCAATGGGGATAACCTCTGCCAGAGAAATGCTGACTGCATCAACAGCCCTGGGAGCTACCGCTGTGAATGTGCTGCTGGCTTTAAACTGTCCCCCAACGGTGCCTGCGTGGGTAAGAAATCAGATAACTTTTCTCTCCTGTTTCTACCTCACCAATGGTATCCATGTGTTTCTCTCAGCAGCCTTTATTTTCTGTTACCTGGTGCATTCTGCTGCTTTGCTTTATAGCCACATTTCAAAGTAAATGGAAGGACAGTGACATTTTTAAAGGACATTTTCTAGGTACCAGCCAAATCCTGACAGTAGTTTTATCCTCAAGGTGTGTAGGCAAGTATTTCCTGTAAAATGAAGGTCTGTTAAGATTCAGGTTTACTTATAGATAATTTTGAATCTGGTTTTAATCATAACAACGGATTGTAAAAACATTATTGTGTGAAATGAGGATATAATGGAGGTCAGTAAGGTGTACCATCTGTTTTGTGTTTTTGTTACAGATCGCAATGAATGTCTGGAAATTCCTAATGTTTGCAGTCATGGTCTGTGTGTGGACATGCAGGGAAGCTACCAGTGTGTGTGTCACAATGGCTTCAAGGCATCCCAGGATCAGACTATGTGCATGGGTATGGAGAGAAAATACTTTTCTGTGTGAGGTTTGTTTGCCTGTGGGCTCTTTGCAGGGGGAGAAGATGAGGTATATGTAGGTTTTTTTTTTTTTTTTTTTTTTTTTTTTTTTAATAAAGTCTGTGAAGTTACCCTTGGAGTGGATAAATTAGTTTGAGTTAAAAAAACTCAGAACAAAACAATGTGTTCTGAGATTGCTCCACGTTACTAAAGAAACATTTCCACAGAAACATATCATGGTGGCTTATTCGACAGAGTTTTATAGGATGTGTCAGAGAGCTTAGCTTGGATCTAAAACCACACATTTTTCCATGATTTGAATCTATTGAGTTAATGTATCATTTAATAAACAGAATCCCCTTTTTAATGTAGCTTTATACTAATTTCATGTGAAAATGATAGCATGATAGAGATCTTATGAGATAATAATATTGAAGAATAAGAATGTTTTTTTTGTTCTTTTAGTTTGTAATCAGTTCTACAGGGTTTTAAAATGAAAAGGTGATGTGTTTCAATTTTAAATAGATATTTAAAACCTATTCATGTTGTAGTACATATTCATATATGCCTAGAGTCTGCTCATTTTTAAACTAAATCACATTAGTCAGACAATCTGAAGAGGATATTTGGGGAAGTGACCTGTTCTGACAAAGCCAAATTTTGAAGAACTAGGAGGACAAAATCTCAATAGATTCCAGATCCCCATGAAACTCCAGAAATTACCATTACACACAGCAGAAGACATTGAACTTCAGTGCCTACTTATGTTTGTAAAAGTTTGTTAGCAGTCTATGTAATTCTAGATGTGATATTGACATTATCCATATTGACTTATGTAAATTGAATTGCGTTTTCAACAGCTTTTCATGGGCTCTGAGGTAAAATATGTACATAACAATTGATCATTTCAGGGTTGTGATGCTTAATCTTATGTGCTCAGTCCTGGTCACTTGTATATGTTAAAGAAATTAAGAAATCTTAGTATGGAAAGCAAAAAGAAAGACTGCCTTCAGGTAACTGCACATACACCTTTATTTTTACATGTAACAGTATCTTTTATTTTAAAAGACACACAGAATTAGATCATATAATGTTTTCCTCTGTGTACTGAGAAGCCCTAAATCTGTAGCATAAACACATAATATGGCAGATGAAAGGAGGGGCTGAAGTTTAGGGTGTTGCAATTGTGCACAGACAACACACTGACCCTGGGAAAACCAGTTCCCTCATGCAGTTTGTCTCTCCTTGCAGATGTTGATGAGTGTGAGCAGTATCCATGTGGAAATGGAACCTGCAAGAACACAGTTGGATCATACAACTGCCTGTGTTATCCAGGATTTGAATTAACTCGTAATAATGATTGTGTGGGTAAGAGACCCCTAATCTAAGCTTTTGTTTTCATTGCTGCTGGTTTGGCATGCCAAGGAGGACAGCGTGTAGTTTAACAGAAGAGATGTCAGGGTGTGAAGAAAATTGAGTGCAGTAGCTTCTGCTGTTACCAGCCCTAGAGGTTAATCCTTACTGTCATGTTTTAAAGTAATTAGAAGTATTTTATAATTACAGCCAATTGAGATAATATAATATTATCCTAAATACCTGGACTACTGGGGGAACTTTCAGTTCACTGATGTTTTAATGCTTTCTGAGCTCCTTTAGTGAGAGTATTGGTATTTACAGCACATCTTTGGCTACAGGCACAGTCCACAGGCACCACTTGCTCTATCCCACCACCAGTGCTGCCTCATGAATTTAGAATAATTCCTTTATTTCACCATTTTACTTGACTTTTGCACAGGGCAAGAAAGAAGAAGCAGACCAACAGTAAGAAAGCCAGGGGAGCTGATCTGTAGCCTGCCAGATCTGCTCTCCTAAAATGAGCAAAGTTATGCATAGCTGACACAGGCATTGCTATTTCACATTCCCTAAAGCACAGGGCACCAGAATATTTGATGAGTTTGGACTACTTTAATTACTGGGTTCTTTTGATAAAGCAACCAACATCTTCCTGGGCTGAGAAACAGGCTCATAAACCTCAAGATCTTCCCCCTTGTGCAGAATATAACCAAAGAAGAGAGGGAGGCTTTACACTCCTTCCTTCTACAGAAGGAAGACACAGCAAAGTCTAATTGTTCCTTCAGCTTCAGGAGAGAACTAATACATCTTTTAAAAAGTATTTTAAATCATCTTCTTGTCCAGAAAAGAAAATAAATAAAATAGCATTTTGAAACATCATTTTCAGAACTGTTACAAAGGAGAAAATCATCCTGTGGAAAGCAGATTACATAGTCCAAACTTTGAGATTGGCAGGGACAGGCTTTTAGGAGGAAGCTTGAGTGGATATGGATCCAGATAAAATCCAGAACACTCCCTGTAACATTTTCTCCTCCACTGGTAGATTTGGTGTCATGCAGTCCCTTAGCAGTAATTATCTCCAGATGCAGTAACTGGGGTAATGCTGTAAGCCTGGAAATTGTAATACCCTGTTAAAAAGTGTGGATTTTAATTTTTTTTTATTAAAAGTGTGCATCTTAATGCTCGAGCAAGTGCTACTTTCTACCAGCTGTCAGCTGATTTCTTGTTGCTACAAAAATGTACCTTTTCCGCAGAAATACTAAGTATTGAAACTTGAGTGTGTTTATAACATACTGTATGTAGTATGCTGGGACTCAACACTCACTTCTTGGGTTCAATTTTGATATTTCTAATTTTTTTTTTATCAGATATTGATGAGTGCAGTTCCTTCGGTCAAGTGTGCAGAAATGGACGGTGTTTCAATGAAATTGGTTCTTTCAAATGTTTGTGTAATGAAGGATACGAGCTTACTCTGGATGGCAAGAATTGTGTTGGTATGTATGAAACCACATGATGTTCAAGTATTGATGAGCTGAAAGAAACTAACAGCTCCCATGTAGAGGGAAGGAACACAGCATGAATATCTAAATATCAAAAAAGAATGATAGTGACTTAAATGAAAACACAGTAGAAGTAACAGTCTTTTTTTGGAATAGTTGTTGGTCTTTAAGCAATTAATTACCTTAGAAAAAGAAAATTAGTACAGACCCCCTCAATCTTTTTTATGTTCTGTTACCATAAGAATTACAGGATTCTAAATCTTTCTTGATTTCCTCCACCCCCCAAAGATACCAACGAGTGTGTGGCACTGCCTGGGTCGTGCTCTCCTGGTACCTGCCAAAATTTGGAAGGATCATTCAGGTGCATCTGTCCACCAGGATATGAAGTAAAAAGCGAAAGTTGTATTGGTAAGGCAAGTTGTAACTGTTGTTCCTGAACAATTTAAGAATTTGTATGTGGTTCTAATTGGGTGGAATGCAGTTGCACACTCTAATGGTTGTGAATGTTTCCTAACTTAAAATCAAGGTGACAGGGAATAGGTATGAAAAATCCTTAGGAAGAGGTTTTAAAAAGGAAGGCAGACAAATATTTTGTGCTGCAGACTCTATTTTGAACATTGATTTCTTCACTAATGCAAACAAAAGTACTTTTAAAAAAGAAGTATTTTATTTTTCAGTCACTTTTGAAAGAATGTAATTTATAAAACAGATGCCTTCACTGTATTTATATAATTTTTACACAAGGTAATTACTGGCAATCAATGCATGAACTAAGCATTTGGTGTCAGAGGGAAATGAAGTTTAAAGATCTTGATAAAATTATGGCACTTACAAGAACAATCAGTTAAATCAGTTTCTTCTAATAACTGTTTTCTGATTTTACCTTTTGTATAATGCCTCTCAAGTGCTGAGATTCACAGGAGGAGAAGGAGGATGCAGCAGACCTATCACCAATTTTTATGTTCTAGTTCCTTCATTAAGGTATCACTTAAAGCCTTGGATGCCATTCAAGAGCTGAAAGTCACACACTGAACTAAGATTTGCTGTGGCAGAGAACAAGAAATAAATCCAAGCTACAACTCCCTTTTCCAACAGAGCAAAGCATGGGATACTGTGAATTTATTGGGCATTTAAGATTTGCATTACTGCCACCTACTCTGTGTGGCTGCAGGAACCATTTTGAGCTTTTTGACTCGAACAACAGGATTTCTTTTTCTAAGCCCCAGAGTTCTCTCAGCCACTTGTATCATGCCACCAATATTCAGTTTGCCTGCCAACTTCATGATTTCTTTTGGCAGCTTCTGACTCCATATTAGCAGTTATGTTTGAGCTGAATTCAAATCACCTACAGTTCTAGTGTCATGAATATAAAATAATGAAAGCTTTTGGTTTTGAAGGAATGTTGCTGTTTATGGCCACTTTAGTAACTTTTTAGAATTTATGTTTTTGAGAGCATCAGTGACTTCCAGACAGATTTTTGCCCAAACTGAATGAAAGGGGCTTGCTTGCATTCTTCTGTCATTCTGCCATGTGTCCAGAAAATCTGAAGCTAGAGCTCCTAGGAAATACCCAGATTATCACATGTGATTGCACTAAAACTTAGATTAATATTTTCACAGCCGTTGCAGCAGATGTTGCCCATTACTTTCTATTGATGTTGTGTGCAAACAGCTTTATGAGAATCCATTCCTTCTGTCTGTGATGTGAAGGTTGGCAGTGGCTGATTGCTTTGTGAGCTCAGGGTGATTACATGCAGGAGAAACCAGAACAGCTGGGGCCATAGAAAAATTCTTAGCTTTCACCTACCCATGTGATATATTCCCTTTCATTTTCTAGGAATAAAGGGGAAAGGACTCATTTACTTCCGAAGTCTGGATAGTCACCTCTCCATCATGGCCACAGAAAGAGTCTTAGCACAAAACCATTCATTGCAGTAATAATGATCACTTCAAAAGAGCCATTTTCCTCTCCTGTGCAGCTGAATTTGCTGAACTCTGTTTATTAAAAGCTATCACAGCAACTGGGAAATTACTTAACATTTTCTCTGAAATAAGCTGGCTTAGAATGCTTCACAGAAGAGCCTGTCCATGGGAGGCTACTGCAGAGTTCAGTCAACTCAAGGCAGTATTTTTCAGAAGTTGCATCACAGAATCTACTCCCACCAGATTTCTTCCATCACTCCACTTACATTTTCCAAATAATAAAGATTGTATTTCCATTGTTTTCTTACCTGCTGAAAAAAGGGCATTTTTATAAAACTCAGTACAGCAGAGAATTCAGTAAACATGGGCAAAAATAGCACTACAAATTTGAGTATTCAACATCCACAAAGCTAATTTTCATGGAGAGAGCCTTGTTCCTGCCTGTACTTTGGTTAAGCTCACTGTTGGCTTTTATTGTAGAATGCTTATATTTTAATGCTTATATTACATGCCACAGGCTTCTGTGATGGTTCTTCCAATAGTCCTTAATGAAAGACTCAAAAAGCATTGTACTTTGAAGGTTATTAAAATACATTTCATCATTTATCAGATTATGCTTGCCTTTAAAAATTACCTTAGCAAGGCAGCTTATATATTCTTCTAGTATTTGCAGAATAGGATAAGTTAAAGTACAGTTTTGAATAACAGATATGAAAAATTAGGGGTCTCTTAATGTATTATTTTCCTGCTTTGTCTGTTGTCTGTATAGATGGGGGAAGTACACCTGATGCTGTTTGAGCTGCACAGTTCTACAGGCACTTGATATTTACACTAAATACTAGTACTTTGGCTTATGCTTTTGATAATTATTTAATATAATATTTAATGATATACCACTATTAAAAAATAAATCTTAACTGTCTTCAAATAGTAATAATAATATATTATAGATTATTCAATATAACAGGAATACATTTTAAATATCACAATGGAAGTGGTAGTAAAAGCACATTTTAATTATAAATTAAATAATTATAAATCTAATGTGCTAATTATAAATCTGGACATGTAAATACAATCAAAGGTGTCACTCTGCTAATAACTTGCTATAGTTTCAGTCCCAGAATCTGACAGGAAGCATAAAAAAAGATCTGACAGGAAGCATAAAAAAAGTACACCTTTAATTAAAAAGAACTCTGAGCATACAGATTTTTAAAAAATAATCTTTGGATGTTTTATGCTTACAGAAAAATATTGTTTGTGTGGGAAATAACATTCTGAACGCATTTGTTTATTTTGAGTATAAGGAAGAACAGAGAATGGTATTTAGAAAAGAAGGTGCATGCCAGTGAGAAACTCTAACATGAAGGAGTCAGTGAAACCTGCAGGCTGCTTTATCTCTTGGACACTATTGGAAGCTGCTCCAGTTAAATCAATAAATCAATCAATCAAGCAATAAATAAGAAGTCTTTCTTAACCAAGGAGTTCATGGCAAGTGAGGCTATGGTGAAGGTTTCTCCATTGCTTTACAGGGCAAGTGAGGCTATGGTGAAGGTTTCTCCATTGCTTTACAGATATTAACGAGTGTAACGAGGATCCCAACATCTGCCTCTTTGGGTCCTGTACGAACACCCCAGGAGGTTTCCAGTGCATCTGTCCCACGGGTTTTGTGCTGTCTGATAACGGGCGGAGGTGCTTTGGTAAGTTCATGGGTAAGGAATGTAATAACTCTGTATAAAAGGTAACAGATACTCTCTAGAAGCCCCTTCCAATTTAGAGTGCTCTTAAAAAAGTGTGAAAAATACAGGTCTTGTGTTACTTCTCTCAGGGCAGACAGTCAGTATCTAACCTGGGAGAAGTCAGCTCTGCATGACTGTATTTGCTTCTCCTAGATACCCGTCAGAGCTTCTGTTTCACCAACTTTGAGAATGGGAAGTGCTCAGTGCCAAAGGCTTTCAACACCTCAAAAGCCAAGTGTTGCTGCAGTAAAATGCCAGGAGAAGGATGGGGTGATCCTTGTGAGCTCTGTCCAAAGGAAGAAGAAGGTACACATTTAAAATTTAAAATTTGTTGCTGGGGGAAAGGGAGGAGCGCATTGGTGGTGTACTTTTTGGTCATTAGAAAGAGAGATCTTTCTGGCATTCGCTCTCAGTGGCTTTTTCTAGAATGATTTTTCAAGTCAGCAAAAGGAATAAAATTTAAATGAAAGAAACCACAGACAAAGAGAAACACTGATTTCTTGGTTTTGCTCAGTAGAAACTTGAACTAGTATCCTTTTTGGATGGCTTTAACCATCCAAAACTGTCATGATTCTGTATCTCACTTGCTCTATTTTTTAAAGAAAATTTATCTCTACAGTTGCTTTTCAGGACCTGTGCCCATATGGTCATGGAACTATTCCTGGAATTGATGATACACGTGAAGGTAGTTATTCTTCTCAATATGAAAACTAAATATTAATATTTAAAACTATACTAGGATATTACAGCATGTGACAGCTTACTCCTCACAGCTGCTGGTGTCAAGAGGCTGACCTGTAAAAGTATGTTAAAAGAACACTTTTTGAAGTGCATGGTTCGAGACAAACATAATAGGGTGCTTGGGTTTTTTTAAATGTTTTGTTTTGAGACTTGAAATGTATCAGCTGAGTGGCTGTTAATATCTTCCTTCTTTTTAGATGTCAATGAATGTCTTGAAAGCCCAGGAATTTGCTCCAATGGTCACTGCATCAATACTGATGGATCATTCCGCTGCGAGTGCCCCATGGGGTACAACTTGGATTTCACAGGAGTGCATTGCATAGGTGTGTGCAGATACAGAAATTGGAACCCCTGAATTTAAAACACAACTCGTCCCAGTTCTCTTCACTCTGCATTTATTTCATTATGTACAGATACAGATGAATGTTCCATTGGCAACCCCTGTGGAAACGGGACGTGCTCTAACGTGGTTGGCAGCTTTGAGTGCAGCTGTCATGAAGGATTTGAGCCAGGCCCAATGATGAATTGTGAAGGTAACCTGTCTTCTTTATTAGGTTTTTCTCCCCCCTCTTTGGCTTCTGTTCAGTCCTAGGCATTCAAATTTCTTTATTAGCCATGCCTTTCATGCCCTTATAACTCAGAGAAAAAGAAAGTTTCTGTGCTTTGAAATGTGTCATTGGTAAAGAAATATAAATTGTTTTAGGCAGAGCTTTTAGTTTATCATAGGACTTCCCACACTCAGTGGGAATGCCCCATGTGGGGCATTCTCACAAATGTTATATTTTAGGAATCATAATTAGTTTGCTTTCTGAAGCTGACATTTCTCATCACACAAAAGTACACTAAATATGAGCATATAATAAAAATCTGAAACAGGCCTGCCCTAACTTGCCATACTAAGCTCAAGTAGTTCTGTATATCTACTATGCCATTATTCTTAAGCAGAGCATTGTTCAGATCTAGTTCATTGTTCATTGTTCTAGTTTTTTCTACTCAAAAGCTAATGGTTTGAATTGCCACCTTTCTGATAATTTTAGCTGAAAAGAGAAGCATGGGTGTGACAAAACCTTCATGGTGATTGTTTCAAGACCTAGTATAGAATGACTGTTTTGTTTCCTTCTGTTCAGACATCAATGAGTGTGCTCAGAACCCCCTGCTGTGTGCTTTTCGTTGTATCAACACTTACGGTTTCTATGAGTGCACCTGCCCAGTGGGATATGAACTGAGGGAAGACCAAAAAATGTGCAAAGGTAATGACTGATGTATAAACTTCCCCCTGCCTTCCATCATCAACACATAATCCAAATGTTTCTGTGCATCTTGCATTCATCCTCTCTGTGAAATGTAGCAAACAGCAGGTGGTGATTTGATCTTTAAGAACTCATAAAAAATATTTAGTGTTTTTGTCATCAAGTGTAACCCATGATGGGGACTACAAAGCCAAGAATGTCACAATGGTGAAATTCCTCTTTAACATGACAAGATGATACAGCTCACAAAGATCAAGATAACTGCAAATAATCACAGACTCTGGACTTTTCCTTCAGTGCTTTTACTTAGGGGAGCCTGTAGGTCCTTTGTCTTGACGTTGCCTTCCGGAACTGAAGCTACTGGAAGAAAGTTCAAACACAAAATATATATATTTTTTATTTTCTCAGATCTGGATGAGTGTGCTGAAGGTCTCCATGACTGTGAATCAAGAGGCATGATTTGCAAAAATCTGATTGGTACCTTTGTGTGCATTTGTCCTCCTGGGATGACACAGAGACCTGATGGAGAAGGATGCACAGGTAAAGCTTGGACAGGGAAGAAGGCATCTAATAGAATATAATGTGTGTATATATATATATATATAAAATCAGAAAATAACAATTCATGAAGGACACATAAGATATCTAATGATACCAAACATCTTAAACTTTGTATTTTGTTTTGATCTGACTTCTGACTAATAAGGATTTCAGAATACAAATTCCATTGCTCTACAACTAAATCCAGAAGTTTTTTAGACAGTTTTTACAACCAAAAAATTAATTTGCCAAACAAATGAGATCTCAATTTATGGGTAGGAAGCATGATTTACATAAATAAAAAGTTATATTTCCTTTAGCATTGGTATAAACTATGTGTCACTTCTTAAAGAATTAAAACTCTTAATATTCTGAAACTACCTATAAATGCCATAAAGAACAAAAGATATGGAAACTTCCATAGCTCAAAGTAATTCCCCATTCCAGAAGTAAAACAAACACCTTTCCTCCATCATTTTTCTCAGTTAGTTGAGGGGGAAGACAATAGTTACATTTTAGCAAATTGTAATTTCTTCTGTATATAGAAAAAAACCCAGGACTATTCCAAAATTCTCTGGGGGGGGAAAAAAAATTAGGCACCCATCTTAGTGAATGTTTTAAATGGAAGTAGCAATGTTTTATAGCAATGTTCCTTCAGCAAGAGAATGACTACTTTCCTTTAGAGATCTTTATGATTTTTTTTTAATTTAAGGAAAATAATCTGTATTAACAAGAATTTTGTCCTTTTTTTGACACATAATTCTGCCCTTAAAGAACCTGAGGTTTTTCTGAGCTTTATTTTAAGCACCTAAAAAAAGTGTATAATTGCTTACAGTTATGTGTGCCATTAGCTATGGAAGAAAATACATGAAGACTGTAAACTTTCAGGAAAATAGTATGTGAACTGAAATACGACTTACTGTGGGGCAGATCAAATGTATTCAGAGACCCTTGATGATTAGAGTGAAGATTTTTTACTTAAATCATGAATGTATTCCAATTTTATTTAAATATTATTTACCAGGTAAACATGACTGGAAATTGCTCCTGCTGCATTTTCTGCTTCTTGTTACAAACTGTGAAGCATTAAAGCTTTTGTCCTGGGATGAAGTACAGAAGGAATGGAATAAGATAACTTTCCTTGGAAAGCCCTTTCCAGGCTTAATCAGTTGATTTTTCCACATATTGAAAATATTTTTCCAATATTACATGGAATATTTAATGTATTCTAGAGAATCCGATACATTTTCTTGTAATGAGTTTTTGTGGTTGTTGTCGATGTTATTACGTGTTGCATTATATATATATAGTATTTTTATATATATATATATATATATGTATAATTTTTTTTCTTTCTGTTGCTGTTATTATTATAACTTTCATAAACGTTATTGTATTTTTTGTAAAGATGAAAACGAGTGCCGCTCCAAGCCAGGTGTCTGTGAAAATGGTCGTTGTGTCAATGTTGTTGGGAGCTACAGATGTGAATGTAATGAAGGATTCCTGTCAAGTCCATCAGGCATTGAATGTCTTGGTAAATAGCTCTGTACCCATTTCATTTCATAGAGCATAAATGCAGAGAGAAAATCAGGCTTCTGAATACCTAACAGCTGCCATTTCTACAGAAATTAAATAATTACACTTCCTAATTAAATAATATTAATTATTATAATAATTAATAATTATAATAATATATTATAATTATTATTAATAATATTATTAATAATAATATTAATAATAATAATTATTAAATATTATTAACTAATTATAGGAACGAACAGTTTGTAGCAAACGGGCCTCACATAGAAGCTTCTTAATTCTATAGCACATAAATGTGGACAAAATACAGGGATTTTTAAAGAAGGATAATTTAGTCACCTTGAGATAATTCAAAAATGGATGCAGAGTAAAATTGCTTATTTGCTTATTCAAAATGTGATCTTAAGCACCATATGGCAACTAGGCATCTGAATTTTCTGTACCTTTAAATCAGATGTAAAATACTATGATTTTACCAGAAAATTGCATTTTTACTTTTTTGGGGGGGCCTACAAGATAAATGCTTATGAAGGGTTTTTGTTCATCAACCTGTATTTTCTTTTTAATATATTAATATTTGTCATTATTATTAATTCATCAATCCCTTTTTTGGAGTCAAACAGAACTGCAAAAATTTACTTTTTCTTGACTATTCAAGTGTACATACACTTGAGGGTGTATTTATTAGTATTCTTGCATGAAAAAAGCATAATTATCTTACGCCATTACTATAAAACCAGGTCCCTGTAAACTGTCATGAGGAGTGTGCTGACTTCATGGCTAAGCAATAACATTGAAGTGCAGAGTATTTCCTAAGGATTAGAACCAGATGGGACGAGAAAACTGCATTCTGTTAACCCTGTTTGGAGGTCACTGTTGCTTTCCTATATTTAATATGTAATTTTCTTATTATTTTCTGGCTTGGGAATGTTTTGCTTTTGCTGCTTTTCCTTTCAGGTTTCCTGGGTTAGAAATGACAATGAAAAACTGATCTGGCAGAAGCGCAGAATCTCTTCTGAATTATAGGATGAGCATTAAGTAACAGATTACATGGTTTTAAATACATTGTGCAAACCTTTATACTCCACTCACATTGAAATTCATTCCACATCTCAAACTGGGGACAAAGCATTTGTGTGTTCTTCAGGTCATAATGTCCCTAAAGACCTGCACAATATCCCTGTCTGGGAGAACAGAAATCTGCAGAGTCTTGCAAATTACTGCAGCAAATACGTTGTTTCACAGAATTGACACTTTCAGCGTGGACAGCTTTATTTGGTGTAAACACTTGACTTAACAGCTGGACAAATGAAGTCTTTCCTGAAGCCAGAGTTTGCCTTTTGCCTAAATCTTGTAAGAAATGCACAGATTCTTCTAATTTGTAAAAGAGAAGGTCAGCTGAGTATTGATACATTTACACATTCTGAGGGATCATTACTAGCTTTGAGAGAAAAAAAAGAAAATCTTTCATTTGAAAATGCAAGCATTCTCAGATCAGTAATTGACAGTGTCTTCATTTTAGTCAAGAAACAAGACAGGTGACATAGCCTGCAACAGTCTTAGCAAGATTTGGAGTTTCTATTAGCACTGGAAACTGGGATTTCTTTTCTCCTCAGCTGCTGTTTGAACGAAACCTGTAGGAGGCCCCATGATGTGAAAGCTTTGCTCTCCTTTCATTATTGACAGGCATTAACCAAAAGGTTTAAAAATTAAAGTAGAATTAGACAGGGGCATAAAAATCTATTTTTTTATATTTTTATACTATAAGGCCATACAATTCTATTTTTTTCCCCCCTGCAAAATCTATGAATACTACTAAAGTACTGAGTTGCATATACACTTGCAAATTGCAAGGATTTTTTATTTAAACCACACCAGAATAATTACAGATGATCAAATGTGTTATTTTGGTCAGTAAAACAAACAAACAAAACAAACTTCTAACCACACTCTAAATAAATCATTCAAATGCAAACACAGCGTAGGCAGCTGAAGTGGAAGCTCAGTTTTGCCCACAGCCTGTTTTACTTACCAAGGGCTCAACTTTTCTACAGGCAAAACTCTTACCCAGCTCATGCAGGTA